TGCAAAAGATTTGCAAATAATTCATTCATATTCATATATTCATTCACTGGGCTTCATTTTCTATAGTCATTAATTGTGTAAAAGTAAAGTGCTGCACTGTGCGAAGAACAGTAAAACAACAAACAAACTGTTGGCTTCTAACTGAAGTGAGAGGCAGAAAAAAAAGGGAGAAAAAAAACATTTTGTTGACAAATCAGTTCACAAATACCAATCTGTGTTTGTTTGGCGAGAAATCTTTGATGTGAGAATAGAAAAGGAAAGGAGGGAGTTCACACCGCTCCTTGCTCTCTTCCGGCTTGAAGTTTGAACGGACTCATCTCCTTTCAATGTGCTGGCTCGATGATTTCACTGGGCACCTCGCCGCTTTGGTTTCCTTTAAAACTCGCCAGACAAGGTGTCTCATTTAGACAACAAAGAGAGAGAGGCACTCCGACAGTTGGAGGCTTGATCAAAGATGTCTGATCAGAGCTGTTTCCACTCAGACATGTTTTTGACTCGGTTATGTAACGCTTTAGTTTTCTTTCTGTCTCTGTAAATCTCTCTCTCTTTCAATTTGTTATGTGCACAACTGTTTGAAACAGCATTTTGAACAAACAGCCGTATACTGAAAGCCAACAAGTACCAAATCAATGAATTCATTCAGACAATTTTAAGATAGCGCTTTGTTTTGCTTGTTCTGTTCTTAATATAACACATAATAATCAGAATTTATAATAAAATATCTCTCTGTCTATCACTGTCGCTGAAACCCTTTTGGGTACACTTCAAACATCTCTGTCTCCCTCCAAGTGAGCCATTTTGATTGGGTTAAATCCCTCAATGATTGACAGCTGCTGTCAGTTCTGCCTCTGGTACAGCTCATGATAATGGCCTCCGGTCCCTCATCAAGGCAACAAAATAATACAGTGGAGAGGCACTCAGCCAGATCCAAATGTGGGTGCATGTCTATGTCTATGTGTCTGTGTGTGTCTGTGTGTGTGTGTGTGTGTGTGTGTGTGTGTGTGATGCTGGGCGGGAAGGCCCATTAGCATTCATCAGTGGGATAATAGGCCAGCGTTAATGTCAGCTGTTTATATAAAGAATAACTCATAAAGCCCTGGCGTATATGGGCTGATAGAGCATGCCTCTCTCCACGCCACATTTGGCAGGGTGTGTGTGCAAGGGTGGATGGGTGGTAAGGGATTGTAGCTCCCAAAATCTCAGAAGGAACTGTTTGACACTAAAGTGAATTTATTGACTGTTAGATAAACATAAGACAAGGAAGGAAGACATAACTAGAGGGGCGAGACAGCCTTGTGATCAGTGCTGAAAATTTGCACAAAAGCAGTGAAAAGCAGAAAAACAAAATTCACTGCATTTTAAAAAGACACCAAACTCATCATTAAATTCATGAAATTCACTTGATTTATTATAGATTCCAGGTTTTAGGGGGAAGTAACTTAACAACACTGCCCTGTTTTGGAAGAGAATTCTGTATGCAAATATATTCTCGTTATACGATCTAAAATAAAATTCTGACAGAACCACTCTTGCATCTACATTTCCTCCTCTGCAGCCCAGCTTTAAGTTTCCTCTGCGACTAACACATCTGGGTTCTGGCGGTGACGACAGAATCGCAGATTGTACAGTTAATTGTGTCGTCGTCCAAGTTCCCTGGAACCTCTTTGGTATTTTAAGCGTAGAAGTCAATGTGTCGTTTTAGTCGACCTGACTTCACATACCTAATTTATAGCAGGGGCTGGGAGGCCTGCTTAAATATAAATGGTGAAGTGAAGCACTTTAAGAGTGTACCAAATAGTGGCAAGCACAACGGAGCTGCTTCACATACATCAGCCACCAAAGGAAAAGATTTGAAAGAATGTGTGTGCATAAAGTTAAGAAAGGATGACGCAAACGCCCACACACATATACGTACACAAAGTAAAGAGTTGTTTCAGAGAACAGACAGAAATGAGTGTGATGGCCTTTCTTAGTTTTCTTTGTTTTCTCTTTTATCTTTACTCATAAAGCAGAACAATAAAGTACAGCAGATAAATAATCCATGATAAACAAACAACTGCTAATTAGTGTGATTTTCCTAAAACCTTGGCGTGTATGTGTGTGTGTACACTCATTATCTCCACCAGCGTTTTAGCACTGATCACAATTCTTTTTAATTAACCCACGCTGTGTATTTTTATCTTGCAATTCAATGCTGCTGTGCTGCACGCCCATCAAACAGACAAAGAAGACAAAATATCAAACAGTCATGTGTGGGAGGGAAAGGCGGCGATCAAGACTGAGATACAGTGAGTCAAGGAAAGAAACAACTGGGCCACAAGGTGCCTCTTTGAAATCTACACTGTGTCACCTCTAATGAGTGGATTTGTGTTCTGTGAATCATCTTAGTCATACAGCTGTCAGATTACAGGTAGCAGGTAGCACCATGAATTAACCACTGGATGTTTAAACTCGTGCTGTGGCAATCCTGCTGTTATTCATTAAATGTTTACATACTGATGTTTGTACGACTCCCGCTCTGAAATAATAATCTCATATTTTATGAGATATTTGTTTATGAGTATCAACCTGGACAGTAATCTTGGATTTGGGGTTTCTGTGATTTTTTATTTTTGAAATAATTCATGTCAATGTTTGTGTCTTCTTAAAGCTACTTAAATCTTTCCGCTGCAGCTAGTTCAACAATTACTAATCATGAATATTAAAATTACAGTTTTGATAAAACTGATAGTTACAATCAAATAAAATGAGCAAAATGTTGAGGCAGACAGGGCCTCATCAAGCAGCATGAGGCTACAGGTATGTTTACAAAGCTACATTTTTAAATTATTTTAAACTTCAACTGAACAATTACAGATTTATCATTTTTCTTTATTATTACATTATAATTATACTTATAAACACATCAAACAATCTGTTATTTCAGTTTATACAATGCTGATGTTTGTGAGCTGATGTTTTATATGATTGTAAATTCTATATCTTTGGGTTGTGAACATCATAGTGGATTGTGAAATTGTGATGTACATTTTTTTGTGTTTCTTAGACCAATCAATGAATCAAAAAAATACTCAACTATAAAGACATTGAGAGTGCCCACCTTTGCCAAGGCCAACCGTCCAGTCATCTAGAACACGCAAATCTAAATACCCTTCACCTTAATCTTGACAGGTTAGCACATGCTTGACAAAATTTGTCAATTTTGCCATTTTAATGGGCCCTTCCTTGGTCCATGCTACACCCACCCCATCGAGTGTCATGGAAATTGGGCCAGTAATTCTTTTAAAATTCTTAACGATAATGGAGTATGTATTAGTACAGTTTGTTTTTATAAGGAGCTGTCAAACAAATGTAGTGAAGTAAAAAATACAATATTTCCCCCTGAATTGTAGTGGAGTAGAAGTATAATGTTGTAGTGGAGTACAAGTATAATGTAGCATGAAATGAAACTACTCAAGTAAAGTGGTATTTAAAAATTGTACTTGTACAGTACAGAGTAAATGTGCTGTTCATTTGCATATTAAGATTATCATTATTATTATATATTTATTTGTGTCAGATGTGGATCAGATGTCATTATCCAGATATAGCTCACGTGTGAATAGTGTATATGGGACCCAGATGAAAGGTAGGACAAGGTGAGACAGCCCTAAAAAAGTTTGGAGACATCCTATTAGAGCAATACTGCAATAGCTTCAGATGCAAAAACACACACTGTACTAAAATAGCTCCTTTTTTCATTCTTATTTCATTTCTCCTGACAGACTTTCTGGACAGAAACAAATACTGTAAGAAAACACTTAAGACTTAAAATACTTCCTCAAAGTACGATAGCCTCTATAACAATAATACACAACCCTGGCCAGGTTGATTTTCAATGAGACAGAAAGATAGGCAGGCGGAGCACCGAGAAACCCAACAGTCAAGACATTCAGGTGAGGCTCCTGGCAAGCTGAATGCTGAATGGAATACAACACAAAGACATTTGTGAAATAACCTAAAAGCAATGTGTTTGGCAAGATGTCAATCAAATGTTTTTTTATTCTGACTCTTTCATCATACCCACAATTACTTGTGTATTCACTTTACTCTATTCTTCTTTCCATATCTCAGTGTTTCACACCCTTTCTTTGCTATTTCTCATTCTTTAACATGAAGGAGGGATCGATTAAACACATCCTTCATAGGTCAAAGCAGGTAGCTAGGTAGCAGGTAGTGACGGGCAGAGACTGGCAGACAAACAGGGAGAAGTCCTCTTCACAAGGAGCTCAGTGCGTCCGACACCTCCCAAGGTCATGTCTGCTCTCCCCGCAGAGAGCCTCTGTCACTCTTAATAACTTTTAAAGGGAACATTTTTTCTCTCCTCTGACAGGCTGAGGAGTAGAGGGACCAGTTGCAGAGTGAGACAATCACAAAGTGCCGACAGAGCGAGGAGGTGTGAAGTGAGGAGACGAGCCTGCAATGACTAACAGTGTACGCTGTTACTTCATGAAAAGTATTGCTACATAGAATTATGAAGTCTGATGTCAGTCACTGTTTCTGTTTCAAGTTAGCTTGGGCAGTGACCACACACTCTGTAATCACTACTCTGTTATCTGTCACTGCTGTTCTTACCATTGCTGTAACACTATGGCAGGATATGATGGATTATGACATGGTGCAGCATAGTGTGAAACATATAGACATGGATCAGGCACAAACTCTACTCACTACTCATGCTACTTTAAGGTGCTCTGGATTAATGTCTCAACCAAATGGCATATGTTACATGTTACTGTCACTGAGATGGATGTATTATTAGGGCAACAGGGCTGCCAAGTGGGTATGTAAACTATTCTTGTACGCAGATAATAATACTTGCCAGAAATAGTGTGGCATTATCAATAGGGATGCACCGATCCATTTTTTCAGACCCCAACTCTCCATTACAGAGTAGCAAACTAATCTCAGTGTTCTTTTTCTTTTCTTTTTCTTTCTTTATATCAAATTCAACTCCATACCTGTTCTTGCCGGTCAAGCCATCGGTCCACCATTGGATGGTTGGCGCTGAGCGAAGATCGAGTCATCTCTCTCTGGAACTGAGTGGTCCAGCCACTTGCATCACGAGGAAGACTCCGATAGGCATGCCCTCCTCTACCCTGCAAAGGAACAGAAGTGGTGTAAAGATTAACATCACTGCATGACACAGAAGCTACTATCAGAAGAAGAGGTTTACTTACACTGATCATACCACTGCTGCCGCAAAGAAATGAGTAGGAGCAAAATCAGCTATCTAAAATCCTTCATCAACAAACAATTTCAAAGACTGATCCATCCTTCATATTTTTGGCGTTTAAATGGGCAGTCTTGTGGTTTGGTGCTATCTATAGCAGCTAGATGACAGACATTTTGTGATGGAAGTTGGTTAGTTTATCTTGGACTTGTACCACACACCAATACTGAGTTCTTCATTCAAGTCTCACTCCATTCCACCCTCACCCCTAACCCTTCCCCACATCTAAACCTGAGCTGCTAATAAGAGGTCTCTTATAATAAGACAGCCACAGCTGAGCTTTTCCATTACACAAAAAGCACCCTCTGAAATGCTCCTGCCAAGGTAATGTCAAACACCAGCAGACTTATTATAATAGCCAGGAGCACAAACATGTACACAAGCACACTAGATTACATTCCAGACATGGTAGCCTTGGCACTGTAATCCTGGCGATTGAAGGTCATGGTGGCTGAAGCTATTTGAATGAAAATGAAAGCAAATGTATATTACTAATCACAGAGGAGACAATGATTTACAAAGACAGAAAAACCGAATGAGAATGATTTAAGGTCTGATGAGTTACCAACGTGCTGCTAAAGAGCAAAACAGACAGAAACAAAAGTTTGGATTTCTTTAATGAGACATCACACAACAAAATAACACAGACAAAAGTTAAAAAAGAAAAAAATCCCAAGAGACTGAGGGGAAGAATAACAGGCAGTCGAAAAGGTGAAAAAAGGCAAAAGAAAACACGTTATGTTCTGTGAGTAATAGAATAACAGCAAACAATGCAAAAAAAACAGAGCAGAGCAGGAGAGAGAGTCCTATCCCCTGCCAGCTATAATAAGCCATATGTGCATTTGAATGTGGCGTGACGGGGCCTAAGGAAGCACTGCAGACAGGACTGTAAAACTCAGCCGGACACATGGGCTCTACTGAGACGGCTGCTGATAGCCATCGTGGCCTCTGTCCGCGCCATGCAACACGGCGCGACAATGGACCTCTCTCCACAAACTTTTACGACACATCAGGTCATAAAATGCAGAGTAACCCAGATATCAGAGAGGTAGCAGTAAATCAGCAGGCCCATATCCGCGGCCTGATTCCTTTAGTTGACTGTGCTAAGCGTGGAGAACCCAGAGTATGAGGTATTGTAAAGTCATTGGTAGACGTGATGAGTTTACAGTGCTAGCTGATGACTGAGGACTCCCGTTGCCTTATATTGTGGAGACTTAGCAGAACTGAGCCTTAGTCAGCCATAACTGGACTCACAGGGAATTGAACAGAACATGGCTGACTGCAGTATATAAAGGAAATTATCCCAGACAGTGGGCTTGCATCCATATGCTCTTTTGGCAATGCTAATCACTGATGTATGGCTCCCTCTGAGAACAATGTTTGCTCCAAGACATAAATATATCAAAGTCAATGCTGACTAATACATTCAACATCTGTTGTTGACTGCATAAAAATAGACTTTATCTTGGACTGACAAGGAATATATGACAGATGGATGTATGAAAAAGAGAGATTGCGGATTATGTAGGTTAAAACTCCCTTTTTATTGAAAAATTTAATGGCCCTGTCAAAAACTGGACGAGCTGGAAAAAAAACATGACAGCCTCCCAATGTTAGCTCATTTTCCAACCAGTCGCCAGTGACAGGAAGATGACTTAAATGGATCTAATTCATGTAACTGATCACCTGCCACAGATGGGAGTCAAGAACTAAATGGGACACATAAAAACTGCATTCAGTCAGGTTTTATTTGCAAAATCTGTACAATGTGCTAAATTTATTTTAGCTATAATGTGAATACCATTTCTGTTGTCGCATTCACTCTGATATCAACCAAACATTATTAAGGATGTTTAAATGTATGCAACTCTGTTAAAGCTGTTGTAATCCATTCAAAGAGGGAATCAGTGTTTTTGTTGTTTATGATATACTATAGTGCAATCATTGTCAATGATTTAAACATAAATGTTTTATGTTAATTCTGAAACCCAAACCCTACTTTACCCACAGAGCAAAGCAGCATTAATAACCTGTAGAGCGGACACACAAGTCGATGCCACAGGGCAGAGCAAAAGGACCAAATTGTAGAATTTGACCTACTGAAACTCCAGTTCTGTTGCTTTTATATTTTTCACACTTAAACAAACATTTTAACATATTCATGTAACATGGGCCAGAAAAGAAGTCATCCTGCCATCACCTCAAACTTTTTTCCTCCGCCCCCCTGGGCTTGGGGGTGTGCTGTTACACTGTTGAGGCTCTGACAACTAAAGTGTCCTTAAATAGGATTATCAGACACAGCTTCCAGACACACTAATCACATGGAGGTTTGCCGTGTCACGTTCCAAGCACTCAATCATCTCCCTTTTTTTAACCTCCCTGTTTCATTGGAAACATATCTCTGTCTCAGCAAGAAGTAAAGGTCTGTCAGCACCACGTGGGGGCAGCCATTTTGAGAAGTTAATTGGCTTCCCTTCTCATTTGAAAGCCACAGGGAGGATGTACCTGAGCTACGTTTTTTTTAAGATTTATAATCAGTGGCTTAAAAAGCCCCAGAACAGGTGAATCTGAACAAAGGGAAAGTGTTTAAGAATCTCTGCTCGTCTTTTTGGAAGACAAGAAGGGGTGTTATCAGAGGGAACTAGTTTCAGATAAAGACTATGCCACTGCTGGATATCTGCAAGCAGGGCAGCACAGGTTTCATATCTCACGGTTATTTCTTTGATTTGGGGTGCAGAGGAGAGAAGGAATGAAAATGAGGGAAGAAAGAAGTAAAGGAAGTTAAACAGAGAGACTGCTGGAGGTTGAAAGATTTCATAGCACATATCTCTGACATTATAATTGATGCAGCTCCAGTACATCTGCAGCACTGCAGAAAATAACTTCTGGGCAAGATGCGTTTTGAATCAGTACTTGACAGTGGTGTAATACAGGATTAATGCAATGCTGACCTTTTTTTAAGTTCTGTTTTTTTAGTCATTTTAGATGCACATAAACATTTATGAGAGGAAAGGTTTATCATAGTCTTTGTGAGGTATTCCTCTTGATAGCAGTAAAAAGTCAGGGTTAACACAAAAGTTACCAAAGTATCACTGTTACCTTTCGTTCCAGGCTGCCGGTGCCTGCACTTGTATTTGGTTTATGGTTGTGCTTTTGAAAGCCAGCAGTTGTGGACCAGCGAGTTGGATTCTTTCTGGACGGTTCCTCTGGACCCACCAGGACTTCGCCCGGAGGAAGGCCGGCCAGGGAGGGATCACTGCTGCGACGGACATGGAGAGGCATATCTGTGGACGGGAAAGTGGAGTGAACAGAGGGTGGAAAGAAAAGAATAAGAAGGCAAAAGGGTGAAAAAACAGGGGACACAGCAGGTTACAGCAACATCAAACTTGCTGTTTTATCCACATATTGAGATGATCACTTTCTCCCTCAGTGTTTTAACAGTGGCACGTTTCTGGGGCCACTGTGCTGACTGCACTGCACATGAGCTGAATCATGGGATAGTGTTTTTTTTCATAAAGTCTATTGAGCCCAAAAGGAAACATTGTACAACTCAACTGTGAGAGGTTTGGCTTGGCTTGAGCTCTGCTACAGTGAAAGAAATATACTGTAAGTATACTTTTAGCTGGAAAATTACCCAGGCAGCTATAAAAAACTTAAATATGAGAAAAAAAATAATGTAAGTAAAAAATGATCCAACCCCTTGGTCAGACTAGCCACCCTAAAATAACAATTACTATCATAATTGCGGCAAAACTGCTCATATATCATGATTTGACTAGCAAGATAAAGGTCATTCTTACACACTGCAATCTGATACTGGAAAGTGTCCCGGGATTGAAACCAAAATTACCCCAGCCATCAAACACATACAAAAAACTGCACAGGAAACACTGGCCCATGTTACAGCTGCCACATTGACCAATCTACAGCTAAAACTTGGTATAAAGTTCTCATATTTGATCAGAGGTGCCAGAACAACTAAAGGGAATGAAGCTGCTCCACACTTCACACTCCAGTTAAAACATTCAGTGAGAAATCCTACTGATGTCTGTTACACAGGGAAGGCGGTAAGTATATCCGTGAGCTGTGGTGTGAATCATCTGGATTTTCCCAAAAGGCCATATGGATTTGTTTATGACGTTCTAGCAGCCTGCGTGTTACACCCATAATTATGCAAATAGTTGGGTAACCACCTGTCATCCATCGGCGGATCATTTCAGCGAGCATATGCCGGTGCTAAGCTTCCATCTGATACACCAGAGACATGTCTTAGTGGTGAAAGCGACGCATTTTAATCACGGCTTACGCTGTGCCGCAACTCGTGCGTATTTAATACTGTGACAAGACTGGGGAGTTTTGAATGCTACTGCAAGTGTTTCTTGTGACCGCCTGCAGGGAAGCAGGCTCGGAGACAGCAATAATTATTTGACTGAATCCCAAAAATAAAGGGGAGGTAAACATGTGTTTGCTGGTGCCTTTATCCTCCAGACAGAGAAACCACACTCTTGCTTTCCATATTCTGTCAAACATTAATCTTTTCAAGAAGCGTCTCTCTTGACCTCAGTGGCTCACATCCCTTCTCCCATGTCCTTCACCTGTACTTGCCTCTAATATGCTCACATCATAAAACATCCCGTCTACCTCTCTGCTTCCTTACAATTTATTTCAATCCTACTCTCACTATTTAATCCTCCCCTACCTGATTCTATGGTCTCCCGATTATGGTCAGGGCTCTATGGCACTGAACTATCGTTTTCATCATTAACCCTTTGCTTGCAAGGTTGTTGGTCTATGTAGGAATTGGGGTTTATTCTTACTCACTCACTGAAAATCCCCAACCTGTAATCTGTGATTGCTGGAATTTTCAAGGTTTATTTTTCTTTAGTTTGAACTACGACATTAAGGGCTATACACATAAACCTGACTTGTAGCAGTCTTCATAGTTTAGGTTCCACAGTGCTTCCAATTAAAATAAAGGTGGCTGTATATGTTTTGAAGACTCAACCAATATCAAAATTCCTGTCCTGGTGATAGCAACTATCTTCACTTATTGCTGTCTATTGTCTATTTTGTTGTTTTTATAGGGATGCCTCATCTTTTACTGCAAACCAGAATCTACCCTTGGGTACAAACATTGTAACCTTGACCTTTAGTCCTTCAAAATAAACAACAAAATACATTGTTAGTCCATGGCCTCTGGAGCAACACATGAAAGCATCAGCACCATCAGCAGGACATCACTTATTTGTATCTGCGCCTTCCAAAACTGGCAGTTTCAGGGATAGGGTTGGGCCCAGAACAGCACTCAGCAATCCAGTCAGGACATTACAGCAGGCCAGCTTTCTGCATGACAGAACCTTACACGGATGTCCTCTGGTCAGTCAACATATTTTACAGTAGTTTAATGTTGAATACCACATTTGCTGTATAGTGTAAATTCAAATACTGCTGGACATAAATTTACATTTACTAGGTTTGACAATGTTGCAGTCTTACTTCCAAAGCTCCCAGTATGGTTGATGTCAGTGCAGAAACATTTGCACCATTATCCTTTTTTAGTCAAAAAGATCTGTTGCCACAGTATGTCCCACAGCACAGCCCCTTCTTTCCACTATGAACAGGGGACTTCATATGCAAATTACTATATGATGACATCTGGAAACTTCAGGGAACTTTCTCAGCAAGTAACTTGAGTTAATAAAACTCTATTTCTCATGAGGGGAATCCTTGCTGCAAGTCAGGTTCTCAAGCAGTAGCAGGTAGCTTGTAAAACCACACTTTCAAAGTAGCTTTCCTAACACTTTAACGGTAAAAGTTTGATCTTCACCCTTACCCAACCACTCTGCTGACATAGACATGTCAACAAAACTCACCAGCAGCTTTTAATATATTCTCTCCTCTGTTACAAATGTGTTTCATTTATTTTGACCGTTGTCTGTAGGCTTCCTCAGAGGAGGTTGGGAATTGAGTAAAAAAACCACAGCTAGCAGCCCATGGCCAGTCATTGTGCGTTTACTCTTAAATTAGGTTGAAGATTCAATAATGGCATTTAATAGACTTTGCCCCTCTTGGTAACGGCTGGTTCATGTCCAGTTCAGGGCTTTAATGGCATTCACCTCAGACAGCGGGGGTAATTAATGTCAAGTATTATCCTACATGACAAAAATACAGAAAGACAGGGAGTGAGAGTGAGAGCTACAGAGATGGGGGGGGGGGGTTTAGAGGGAAAACAGGGATTAAAGTATGGGATTAAAAAATACAGATGCTTGGAGATTTTAAATCTGAAACTTCCCATTTTTTTTTTTATTTAAGACCTTTAAATAAGGATTTGCTTTTTATGTATCTGTGTGTGTGGACAGGGAATTACAAGACAGTTGATGTTGATTAAAAGCCTTGGTGTATTTCCCAGAATACCTCAAGGCTCAGCTCTTACTAGACATTTATCAGGGTCTTTTGAAACCATGACAACATTGATCATGCTTTCTGCAACATGACTCTTTCCAGATGCTAACAAACTAAAATGTCCATTATTAATCATTTATTTGTATAATTTGGAAACCATGCATACACAAGATTCATACCAAATAACTGAATTTAATTTAAATGCTGTAGATAAAGACAGCTGGCAGAGCCTGCAGCTGATTTTGAGAATTGCATACATGATATGATCTAGAACATGTGATTTAATATTAAATTTGTATTACACTAGATTAGGTCAATCTGTGTGCCAATGAGTGTTGCTGATCATGCTTTATCTTCCAGTTTACATAACCTCCCAGATTTAGATATGCATGAGTGAAATATATAAAGGACTGACTTTGTGTCAGCAAGTCTTTCGACTCTCTTTGTACTGTGAATTTATGCTTACGCATCAGCTAATGATGTCTGGCTGTTTTACGATGCTACTGGCATCTAAACACAGACAGGTATAGCATATTCCCATTTAGTGAGGCTTCTCTTTTAAAAAGCTGATTCATCATGGTTACAAATCCTTACAGATTAACATATGATAAATAAGAGAGCTGGTCGGTGTGTGCTTGTTTATTTGTACTCTGTTTGGAAGGTCACAATATGAAAATTCTCTCCCCTCCCCGTTCTCCCTGACCAATTTTCCTCTACTTAATTTGTGATGGGATTATCCCGGCAGTCCGAAGGGTTTGGTTGGTCCCACGTTTAATAACCAGCGCCGTCACTTCAGACCGAGCCAGCCATCGATCCAGGCTGAAGAGGGAGCGAGACCACTGGGGGGAGGGTGGCTAATAAAACGAGACCCTAATCCAGCCCCTGTAGTGAGGGATTATGGCCAGGGCACAGGGTCATAGAGATGCACACACCACAATTCACCACAGGGAGAGGTCAGACTCTCCAGGGGCTATTACCTCGTATTGCTTTGTCCTTTATTTATCTTTCACACTCACCTTGTTTGGAGGAGAAATATATTAGCTTGTATGAATCACCATGGATAAAAGTTTATACACAGCACAAAAGTCAATATTAAAGTCATTTAGTATTAGATTGAAGAATCTTGTATGTGCACATACTGATTTTTACTATTTTTATGGCTAGAGGAACCTGCAGCACAGTTTGAAATGGGAGGTAATACATTTTTAGTAGGGGTGGTGGGACTAGGGTTACAACCAACAGTATGTGTGTAACACTGGCAAAAATCACTGATATGAGCCATCATGAAAATAAAGCCATAAATGACAACTATGCAGGACTCACTACTGAATATGAAGTATTGTGAAGGACGTCATGCTTGCTTCAGTTATAACCGTCAGCATGAGCCCTCTTCACTGTCACAAAGAACAAATCCATATATGACTTGGGTTGCAAGAATATCAACTAGCTATAGAGAGGTTTAGTGAGTTCACTGTTATGAGTACACTTCAGTTTTCATTGATATGTTTTCTTAAGTTCTGATATTCCACAAGGGAATGGCCTTCCAAAGCCAGACCACATGAGGTTTCACAACTAGTATTAGAAAAACATCCAAAAAGAATTAATTAGCCCTGAACAGATATGTCTCTGACCAATCAGAACATGTTTAAAGAGTGTTCCTGTTAGATTGACAGAGATAGACACCCTCCGTGTGTTGGTCAATCAGAAGTAGAGAGGATTCAAGTTGTTTTTTACTGGAGATAACATCAGTCTTCTATTGTCAAGTACACTTTAAATAATGTCTGTCTCAAGTTCCTTGTCAGACAAAACATTAGGAAACACCATAATTTATTCCTGACAAGATGTTATTTATCTTTATGAATGAGGACGTGTTTGAGTACAC